GACCAGCACCTGTATATATATATTTGATCTTCTCCTGCAGATTCACATTGAAAACAGTGATCAGAGCCCAGCCACTATCTCAGACTAAACACAGTGTTTTTATTGTTCACGATGCCTGTGAAATCTTACTGTGAGAATGTTAACACAAACCTGGCATTTGGTTCTTGGACTCAGTGCTTTAAAAAAGCCACCATCTAGCTGCAATAATGCTTTTACTGAGAACACACCTGCTGTACCGGCAGATGAACACACCGATGAATGAACAGGTCCTCACTTTGGAAAATAGCTATATTTGCTTTTTTTTTTTTTTTTATATGAGCATGAAGAGTGAAGGAAAGGGAAAGAAAAACACCTGGGAAATGTGTATATCTGTCCACTTCCAGGATTAATGAAGGCGAACTCTAGTTCTAGTAGACATTTAAAGCGAACACACAAGGAAGGAAAGAGCATCATTTACTTCATCATTCGGGCAAATGTATGTTCTGTAGGCTAATAAATGTTCAAACTAACCGGGAAGAAGGGATTCAGCACATCTAACAAATTTACCAATCTGATCACCAAGCAGCTAAATGAAAACAAATACAAAATAACAAATGGATGTTAAAAACACCATGGGTGTTCAACACTGTTGTATTAATTAAAACCCATGCTGCACTCTCCAATCCTGTTGGTCTGTGATAGGGGTGACACCCATAGACACACTAGATGGCTTCTTTTCTAGGGCGCCATAAGTTTTAATGAATTACTCTTGAGGTGGATTATTTTTCAGGATATGACAAGTTTTAGATTATGTCCTGTTACTCTAGGTATTCTAAAAATATCTTGACTTACTTAATAACTGATAATCATGATTAATCCAAGTTCTAAGCTCAGCCCTACAGTCATTCAAAGCTCTTGCTGGACTAAAACAGTTGCCATGTTGAATTGAATCCTTCTCATTCAGGAGCACTGTAATACTTTCAAAACAACATTTTCAGCGCCTTGCAATTTGCCGCGATCCAATTCTGTGGTCTAAAAAAAAGTATGCAAAAATGAGGAAGTAAAACATGAAGATCTCTAAAAATGTGCAACATCTCACAGGAACTAGCAGCTGTGAATAAAAACACTACTGGGTTAAAGGCTCTACAACAGAAACTCATTTGACCTAAAAGATAAAAAAAATATTCTTTAAAAATGTTCTGTTTAGTACATTTTTAATTAGATATGAATTACTTTATAATTAGGAGTTTTACTGTGAGCTAACACAGGGAATAAAGCAAAAAAAAAAAATCCTGTGCCTGAACTTTTTCAACACAGGAAAGAAAATCATATATATATATATATATATGTATATATATATATATATATATATATA